TTTGTGATCAAAAATGGTTTTACGCCATTTTTTAATATGGCCGCCATTCAACAACTAATAAAAATTTGCTCTAATTCAACTGAAAATCGATATGTGGGCGATCTCTATAGGTGTTTGATAATAATTTGCGGTCGAAATTTAGTTTTCGCCTTTTTTCAATATGACTGCCATACAAACTTTTTTAGCGCCAGATAAAAATTTGCTCTAATTCCATTGAAAGTGGACATGTCGGGGTCTCTATGAGTGTTTAATAATAATTAGGGGTTAAAATTTATTTTTCACCATTTTTCAATATGGCTGCCATACAATCTTTTTTGGCGGTAGATAAAATTTTTTTGTAATTCGACTGAAAATGGCATGACTTCAATCACAATTTGGGGTAAAAATTTTGCTTCTGCCTTTTCTCGACAGCCCTAATTTTTTATGTAAATCGCTATTGAAAAAACTTGCATTCCTCGGACTGAAAATTGGCACGAAAAGACTTCTAAGATTGTTTGATAACAATTAGTGGTCAAAATATGTTTTTGCAATTTTTAAATATGCCGCCATATTTCAGTTTTTTTAAAACAAAGCCATAAGTGCCGAGGCCGGAGGCCGAGGTCCGCGGAGGGCGATGTCCGAAGCGTCCGCACGCCATCAAATGGAGATAATATACGGAGACGTAATATATTACGTTACGAGTACAAGATCTCACAATTGTAAAAATGTAAAGCATGCTTCCCGATGTAGTGGAAATGAGATACTTATTATAGCGTTGTTTTAACTCAACCGTCTCTATGTTAAATTTCATTTTCTTGAAAGCTATGCCAAAGAGAAGTATTTAGGGGGAAAAAATGCCAAACTACTGCCGAATTTCCTGTACTATGTAGGTACTATAAATACCAAATCAACGATAACCCAGAATACTCAGACCAAAACCAACTTAAAAATGTTCGTTTCTTAAATTGGCATAAATCGGGAATCGACCTCCTCATCAAGCTGAAACCGACCTCGCGCCGTAGGCCGAGCCCAACCCCATCGTAGGTGGGGTACAGGCCTCGTATTAACTAAAATTACCTGAGTTATTCGTTATTTTAGTTCATATGGGCGATGCAAACTTCAACAGCAAATTAGGGGAGACCGGGGCTGGTAGTTCCCGGGGTAAGTTGTTCTCACAGCAATAACTTTGCAAGGAAAATATGTAGCAATACATGTGAAGCGCGTCGCTAAAGCGTCAGGTGATGCGCCTTGTCGGGAGCCATTTCAGTTACCCCAGCGACGACGTTTGGCTATGTGTGTGGCTATGTGCGTGGAGCTATCAAAATATCACGTAAGTAAATTTTTTCTTGTTTAAATTTTTTGGTCTGTCTTTGTTCATTATGGGCCGATTCATACGTAACTTTTCTAAATTGTAGTAACATTAGTAAGGAATCTTATTGTTTGAGTATTTTTTTATTACTTTGCCGGTATGTCAGTCTTCGTATAAAAACGTAATTTGGGGCTATAAGTTCCTCCCTCGAGGGGCTGGTTGTTCCTAGGAACAACTTCCCCCAATTGATCTGCAATCATACTTAAAAATTTTATGACTATTTTTCTTTGTTTTAAGGATGCCAAACTACAAACGGGCTCATGTCAAATATTTAGACAAGATGATAGAGTCACTTATGCGTGTCTCGACTGTGATTCAGATGAAGAAATGTGCGATGAATAATAGTACTGATGAATAAGAATGTAGTTGTTTTTTTTAAGTTAGTTGTGCATAATATAAATATTACATACAATTATAAAATAGGTTGTTTTATTTAAGAAAATCTTTGTTATACTGTCATAATCTAGGCGGAACAATTTGCCTCAAAGGCGGAACAACGCGCCCCAAAGCGGAGCTGAATGTTGCGCTCCGAAATTTGTCAAAAATTAGCCTCTATGAAAAAGACTATTGAGATATTAGTAGAAGTGACTATACTATTATAAAAAGCGATAAACATTTGTTCAATATTTCCACATGTTGAATATCAAATCCATCATATTAATATAAAACTGCAAGTTATTTGAAAATCGGATCGTTTAGCCCCGCTCTCCCCTACATTAAGAAATGATCACTGACTGGGCGGCAACGAGGACCTCCGGTCTTCGTCTGTGATGCGACAATAACAGATTTATTTCATCAGATATCAAGTAACAAATTTAGTACATAAATACTTCTTACCTTTGACGTAATACAAATTATTGGAATTGACATGGAATCCAATCATCCAGGAGAAATGCTTTTTTTGCAGGGCAAGAATTATGTGGTACTACTGTAAAATTGTAGGCACAGGAAACTTAATCCGCCATTCAAAAGATGGTCATAATACAAGTGCCCCCTAGAAGCGGTAGCAGATCTTAAATAATTTTTCACACAACTCCACGCTCATCAGCTAGTACGAGTGGTACACTCCAGTAAATAAAAAATAATGTGGGTTTCTCGCTAGAGGTCTCGCCATATGGTTGTGTCACTCTCTGTCAAGTGGATCAAGTGGATCTCTCAATGGAATCGATTACCCTTTGAACACGATTAAATTCATTTTTTCATTTCAAAACACATTTGCTTAAAATTGTTGCTGCAATAATTGAGCTTGATAGGCTAATTACGAAGGCTGCGGCCGGAGGACTTAAAAAAAACCAAAAAGATTTTATAAAAACTAAAATTTAATTAAAATAATTCCTAAGCTAATTACAAGAGTGGTTGCGATCGATGCAAGATCTACAATGTCTTTTTAACATAAAATTTATTCTAAACATAATTAATTAGGTTACACGGGTTTTTCGATATCGCTGACTCGTCGCGTGGTCGCTGCGCGTGTACAAATCTATGTCGCAACATCTATTGCGGCTTCAGCGGTTTACGTGGGGTGCATCTATGTAACAGGCTCAAAACATTTAAATGAATATTTATATTTTGTTTAGTTTTTAACGATAGTTATTTGTAATGCAAGGCTGCAAAGTTGTTGGACGCGAGTGATAGTATTGAAACCTGAGCAAGCGTAGGATTCTAAGATTGTTCTAAAACAGGATCGTAAGCGTAGCGAGCGTTTCAAGGCACGAGACGCAAAGCAACTTTACTGCCGAGCGAAACACGCAACTTTTCACCTCACTACAGCGAGGAAAATGGTAGATGAAAATGCCTGTGCCCCAGGGTTCTCATTTGGGTCCTATTTTGTTTCTTCTGTTTAGCAACGACATTACATTAGTTGTTCATCACAGTAAATGCTCATTATTCGCAGACGACCTCAAAATTTACAAGCATGTAAAATGTACTCAAGATACAATGCTAATCCAACATGATCTAAACAGGATACAGTAATGGTGTCTTGATAACGGTATGAAAACCTATGTCCAGAAATGCAGTTTTGTGAAGTTCACTAGAAGAAAACTGCGTATCCTATCCACTCACACTTGAATGGCACACCTCTTGTACAGACACGGGAGATTCGCGACTTGGGAGTCTTGCTGGATGGCGAGCTGAAGTTTACACCACATTACAACAATGTCATCCGTAAATCGGCGCAGATGCTGGGGTTCATCAAGCGAAATATCACAGGCTTCCTGTCTCGAACAAATATAATTTTGTACAATGCGTTAGCGCAAAGCCACCTGGAATATTGTTCTACTTGTTGGGTGTGGAACCCATTTACACTGTGCACTCGCAAAAGATTGAGACCATTCAGCTCTCCTTTACACGTCATCTCGCTTTTATATCTCCCAACATTTCATATCGGCAACACTATGACCAACGTCTTCGCTATTTTGGTACGACTTCTCTTCGCAGTCGTAGGCTGCTCCTGGATCTGATGTTCCTGTATAAAATACTTCGTGGAACCACTATTTGTAGCGAAATTTTGACAGCAATCAACTTCGTAGTCCCTCACAAGCTGCCACGGCAGCCACTTCGTAGAGTCTTTGCTCCGCAAATTTGCCGCACAAATATAGGCTGTAATGCACCAAACACTAGAATATATATATATAGAATATATGCAACGAGTACAATGTCCTGTGTAAAAAAAAGTAGTGACATAGATATCCATCATGACGCGCCCTTCCACTTTCGTCGTAAAGTAATGCATTCATCCCAATCGAATCCTTGAATGTTATGCCCATAAAAAGTTAATAATTGGTAGTTTGGATTGATAAAAATGAATTGTTTTACACTTTTGTACTATCAAACAGTGAAATGTTATTGCAGTTAATACTATTATATGTTATTTTTAATTTTATTATTTACTTAAATTTAATTTCATTTTCGTAAATGTATTTCAATTATTATGTTTATGGCATTCATCAACACGTCAGCTCAACCCTGCGCGAGCGCGGCCTGACTGGCGACCCGCGGGCGCGCGAAGTATTTACGTGAGAGCGAGAGCGAGAGGCATATATATAGTCTGTCTCTCTCTCTCTCTCTCTCTCTCCAACTCATGTTTGGGGTGTGCGTTATATTTTATAAACTTTGTATAAAGGTAGGGGCTGATTTCGAAATAAATGTTAATTTTATTGCGAATCAGACATCGAGCGTTTCACTTCTTCAACTAACAACCATCCGAGTATCCGCTACATGTTAAAACATTATAAATATTTGTAGTTTTTATAACTTTCTAAGTCAGCATTTGGTTGAGTAATGAGCTTCCCTGTAATTGGAATACATACAAGAACAATGCAGAATGTAACCTCTAGTATAAGCATTATATGTAATTCTGTTGGTTTGCCAAATAAATAAATAAATAAATGAAAAGAAAAACAGCTTTAATATACAAAATTAGTTATCGTTGTCAATTTAATGTCAACAATAATAAGAATAAAATATACCAATGGATGTTAACATAAATAATGTATCTACGACAAATCACGTAGTTGAAGGTGTCTTATGTTTTTTACAAGGTTATTTTATATCCGAAACTGAACCCCAATCACAAAATAGAAACGGAAAAAATAATCCTAAATTCTTATTTTTTATTTAGTTGCAGTAAACATCGATTCGCAATCACCTGATGCAAAGATCATGGAACTTGCGCACGGCACGTGCTATCACACAGTGGACCGACTCTCTTACTCTCTTGTTATCTCTTTCTCAAACGCAAGCGGGCGCCTCGTCAATCAGTGCGCAGTCAGCCGCGCGTGGTTTGAGAGATGTTTGGTCTTCACCAGAACTGTATTACCATCAAGGTAGCGCTCCTTCTGATTATGGACGGCAAGTGTGTGACTAATGGGGTGATGTGAAACCTGTTTACACGGAGAAGATTATCGAGTATCGAACAATTCCGCGCAAAAACCGTCGCCGCTTTCAAACTTGTGAAGTGAAATGTGCTAACTCATACCATACACTCACTACATAATATATTATAATACAACAGCTTTGAGTGAACACGTATACTTTCTTACTCCTACGTTTTAATTTAAAGATAGCTTAAAATATTGTACCATATTAACTGAATTATATACATCAAAATATTCCTGTAATAAAGTGCTTTCCGATGATAATATATATGACTGGCTTGGGCGTCGTGTTGAAACAGTGACAATTTAGTGGCTATTAGCGTATGTTTATAAGACTGCCCAACTGCTAAACAATGGAACTGGATTTTGGACCCCATTGAGAGGGAGCAGAGGAAAAATTCCTAATCTTCGATTTGATTTTAGAGGGGTATATCCACTTCAAAGTTAAAAATAAAATATTGTATGAGTAACTACACGATATATTCAAGCACAGACGTTAATCAGAAACTTAAAACAATAAAGTATTCTCGATGGATAAAAATCACGAATACACATTTGTAACAAAATCACATAACAGGCAACAACTCATATTAGTTCCGTCACGCACCGCTAGATGGCATTGGCGTCGAAATCGCAAATTCTGCATCGCGGTGTTAAGATTTTTCCCTCGCGGAATGACTACGGGCGGCGATGTGTGTATAATGGAATCCAACTTACGACGCATCTAGCTCTGCTTCCTTATTTGGAACTCCGCTTTAGATCGTTACCGTTGAACTTACTGCACTGTGCTACGCTTCTAGCGCTGCTTCCTATTTGGAACTCCGCTTTAGAACGTAACACGTAGTTGTTGCACCCTGAGCCGCTTCCTAATTGGAACGTGTGTACGGGTCCTCGACTACGTGTCGATTAGGGGGAGTCCTTTCCCACTATACCACCGACGTTGTACATCTGTATATGTTGTGTCAATAAAAAGCACCATATTGAAAACCTGGTTTCCCTCTGTCACCCCAAGAAGAACTTATTACACTGGCGCACAACGACGGGCACGACAAGCCGCGATTTATAACAAGAGCAGGCAGAGTCACTTCGCACTATATACAAACTACGCGTGTACAGAGGAAACCTACCAACATGGCAGTCAACATGACGGATGAATAATTTCAACAGCTGCTATCAAGACTGGCGCCAGGGAAAAAAGGTTCTTTTGCTGCCTGTACGTCGAGTTTTGATGGTACAAAGGATGCTGAGGTGGTGAAAGCGTTCCTGTCAGCAATAACAGTTTACAAAACCATTGAGAACATCTCCGACGCCGATAGCCTAATTGGAATTCCGCTATTACTCAAGGGAGAAGCTGCAGTATGGTGGCAAGGAGTTAAAAATGATGTCAAGCAATGGGAGGAGTTCAAGAACCGTCTTCGCCATGTGTTCGCCCCGAAGAAGCCTGCGTACTTAATATACCAGGAGATAGTGGGAGACAAGCAGAACCCAGATATGTCAACTGAAAGCTTCGTGGCACACAAAAGAATGCTGTTTACTCAACTCCCCACCGAGCATAGCGAGATACAACAATTGGACATGGTGTTCGGACAATTGAATATTAAGATCAAAGAGAAAATACCTCGAAACTCTATCGCGAATTTTGACCAGCTGTTAGAAGCGGCCCGTGGGGTAGAACAGCTTTATGAGGATATTGGAACACGTGACCATCTTAACGATAAACTGACTCCCAACGCTTATAACCATGGAAATGTTGCTGCTTCAATGGCGGCAAGTCAGCGCAAGAAGAAATGCTCCTTTTGTCATTTGAAAGGTCATACCGCTGCCGATTGCAGAAAGCTGAAGCGAAGACAGAGCGAACTTCCAGTACCGGAGACACCACACCAAAACATAAAGACAACTCAAGCTCCATCACCAAGTCAGCCCAAATTTAGCTGTTATGGTTGCGGTGCCCCGGGTGTCGTGAGAAGCAACTGCAATACGTGCACTAGTATTAAACGGCGTCCGTCTCAAGCAGCCGACATTAGTTTTTGCGCTGTTAATGTTAATCGCACTGACTCAAGACCTAGGCCGGTCGTCTTCGTCGAAATAGTTGGTATCAAAGGTACAGCTCACATTGATACTTGTGCCAAGACTAGTGTCGCATCCTACAACCTGTACCGTCAGCTATTAGCCAGGGGTGTTGCATTTCACAAGGAGATCGTCAATCTTACGTTGGCAGACGGAATCAGCAAAACACGAGAAGTCCTGCAAACTAGAGTACCGGTTACCTTAGAACACCGGGTGATTGGAACAACGTTCATCGTACTTCCAGAATCCAAGGATAACCGTACCCTATTAGGTATCGGGTTCATACAAGATGCCAAGATGGTTCTAAACCTACCACAATTCACGTGGGAATTTCTGGACGACGATCGTATCTATGAATTATTTAAGGAGGATTTTGCCACGTTCCCGGAAGTCCACATCTCTTCGACTGCAGTGCCGCAACTACCTATGGAAACACAAATTAAACCAGCTGTAAGACCGAAACGACCTATGACACCTAAAGAGGCTGCAATACCGGAAGAAAGCGCTTCAACGTCGCGTTACAAACTCATCCCGATTGCGCGAACTCCGACTAAGAAGTCAAAACCATTGTTTGATGGGTACTCACCCCGTTTCTGCGATTTCATTATGAAAGACGCTGAAATTAACGTAAGAGAAGCTGAAAGTAGCTTGTCCCCACACTCTCAGCAACTATTCCCGGATCAAATAAATGTTAACATTGATTCCATCGACGTTACACCATCATTATTGAGTACGGAAGAAGTGTCTAAACTGAATAAACTGCTTGATAAATATGACGACGTTTTTACTACAAAACATAAACCTTCCCTCTTAGGTGAGCATGCTATTATAACCAACACTGATCGTCCTATATCAGTGCCCCCTTATAGACTTTCGGCGAATTCCAAGAACATCCTTAAGCAAGAGATAGATAAGATGTTGAAGATAGGAGTGATCGAACCATGTTCATCACCATGGGCCGCTCCCGTAGTTCTTGTTCCTAAACCTAATGGAGAAATTAGTGTTTGCGTAGATTATCGCCGATTAAATGATATTACGGTAGGTGACACGTACCCACTACCTAGAATTGACGACTTGTTACATGCTGCGAAACCAACTCCATACATGTCGTCACTCGACCTTAAAGCGGGTTATTGGCAAATCAAAATTAAAGAAGAAGATGAAGACAAAACAGCTTTTATAACGCCTTTCGGAATATACAAATTTAAACGAATGCCGTTTGGCCTACGTAATGCTCCTGCTACGTTCCAGCGCCTGATCGACAGATTCCGTGTAAACCTGGAACACATCAAAATGTTAGCATATCTTGATGACTTGATAATATTCTCTTCTACATTTAATGATCACTTGAAAGATCTAAGAGATGTCTTGGAGAAAATGAGGGAGAATAACCTCACCATAAATCGCGAGAAAAGTCGATTTTTCTGTTCATCGCTAAAATACTTGGGTCACATTATTACCCCAGATGGATTGAAGACCAATCCCGAGAAGACATCAGCAATCACAAACCTCCTTACTCCTAAAAACATCAAAGATCTTACAACCTTCCTTTAAATGAGTGCATGGTACAGACGCTTTATAGAAAATTTTTCGGCAATTGCGGAACCGCTAACGAGACTCACTAAAAAGAAAGCAACCTGGGTGTGGAGTTCAGAACAAGAAAATGCTTATAATGAGCTTAAACGTCGCCTAACTTCTGCCCCGGTACTGCGACAGGCAGATGAAAATTTGCCATATATCTTAAAGACTGATGCTAGTAACTATGCTTTAGGAGCAGTACTTGCACAAGGAGAAGGAAAAGATGAACATCCAGTGGAGTACGCTAGCCGTTTACTCATACCAGCTGAGCGTAACTACTCAACAACCGAACGAGAAGCTCTTGCTGTAATCTGGGCTCTTGATAAATTCCGTTGTTATATAGAAGGAGTACCGGTGACAATCTTAACTGACCATCAAGCGCTTAAATGGCTGATGAGCCTAAAGTCCCCTACTGGACGTCTAGCAAGATGGGCCCTCCTGCTACAAGCCTATGATGTGAAAATTCAATATCAACCTGGTAGACAGAATACTGTGGCTGACGCTTTGTCACGTCCAGCTTGTGATGATAGCTTCACTGAATGTGGAATATGTGAAGTAATAATAGATATGCCTACCAGAAGTACGAAAGAAATACGTGAAGAACAGCTGACAGACGAAAACATTAAAAGAATAATTGCCGCTCTTGAAGAAACCAAGAATAAAGAAGATGCAGTTTATTGGAGTAACAAAGGATACTTCATGAACAACGGCATTCTTTACCGGCTACAACCTGATGCGGAAGTTGATGACGGACAGTTGATAGTCCCAGAACATGAATGGTCTAGCATTTTGGCTGCCTATCACGATGATCCGCTTGCTGGTCACTACGGTGCTGAAAAGACGTACCAAAAGATAGCCAAGAGATATTACTGGCAAGGAATGCGTAAATATATCGCCGGATATGTAAAAAATTGTTTAGCCTGTCAGAGATTTAAGCCATCGAATCAGAAACCTGCAGGATTGCTTCAAACTACTCCCATGAATCGAAGGTTTGAAGTTTTATCGTTCGACCTGTTTGGTCCACTCCCACCAACAGATGATGGAATGACATGGATATTGATAGTTGAGGATGTTGCCTCACGCTGGGTGGAAATGTTCGCCCTAAAAGCAGCAACTGCTGAAAACTGTGCGTTTACACTTATCAATGAGGTATTTTTAAGATATGGTGTACCTAGGCGCATAACAAGCGACAATGGCACTCAATTCGTGAGTGCTGTAATGCAACAAGTTGTATACTGTTTGAATATTAAACATTGTTTCACGCCTCTGTACCATCCAGAGAGCAATCCAGTAGAACGCCGTAATCGAGAGCTGAAAACACAATTAGCTATAATGATTAACTCTGCTAGCCATAATAATTGGTCGGAACTGTTACCTGCAATACGGTTTGCAATGAATACCAGTAAAAACTGCTCAACCAGCTATACACCTGCGTACTTGACATTTGGCCGTGAGTTAAGAGCGCCACACGATAACGAGGTTGACTTTCGTCAAATACTAGTATCGGAAAACATAATTCCAGAGATCACGCCGACTCTCATAAACTTTGCCGATAATCTGGTGAAAGCTAAAGAGATACAAGAGCAGAGAGAAGAAGCACGGAAAATAAATACGGACAAGCATAGACGTACACATACCAATTACAAACCTGGCGATCTGGTCCTTGTCGCTTCGCATCCTATAAGCAGGGCATCTCAAGGCATTACCGCTAAGTTTGTACCACGTCGAGACGGACCGTACACGATTCTTAAACAACACGGCCCAGCATCCTATCAAGTGGCTGCGCCTTCTGCACCTGACAACCCAGTGGGCGTATATCACGCATCAGCGTTAACTCCCTTTCATGCATACGAAGAAGAAGATGCAACAACCGTGCCGGAACCCATTCAACCCCTTAGGAAAAGAGGACGTCTGAGGAAGCAAGCCACTGCAAACTCCACACAACAACCCAAAGGACACAGACGCAAGTAAAAACTTATTTCTTCAGTCCCTCTCGTCGAGACGACTTCGGGGCCTGAGGGGGAAAAGATGTAACAAAATCACATAACAGGCAACAACTCATATTAGTTCCGTCACGCACCGCTAGATGGCATTGGCGTCGAAATCGCAAATTCTGCATCGCGGTGTTAAGATTTTCCCTCGCGGAATGACTACGGGCGGCGATGTGTGTATAATGGAAGGATTGTCGTTACGCGCACAGCGCACGGGTCGGACAAGCCACGGAGCCGACCACAGTGCAGCCCGCTCCGCCCACGGAAACTTTGCCACTACCCAACCTCCGGCTATCTTTCTCTCCGGTCTCCCTCCGGCCTCCCACAAGCGGGTCTCACCGGAGGGGCTCGGAGGGGGGATAGTTGCCCGGAGCGCGGGTTACGACCGCGCCGCGCGTGACCCCCCCCCCCGGATACCACCATGCCGCCGCCGCCAGTACCCCCGACGAGGCAGCCGACGCGTCCAAAGCGCCTGGGGAGGGTGAGAACCCGAATATTCTCCCGCACCGGCCGCGACATCCTGGACGTGGTGCTGGCCGCAGCATCCGCGTCCACAGCCTTAACCCCCTCCCCCCCCGTGGGGGGAGGCGAAGAATTCTTCTCTGGCGTCATGCCGGGACCGTCGACGGCGCCGCAGCAGACACAGCCCAAGCGCCCGGCGTTGAACCCACTGCCCCGAGAGCCGCGGCGCAGATCACCAATCACGCCACCATCGAGCGCCGGGCTGTCAGTATCGGCGTTCGAAAGCGTGCTCTCCGCGCCACCTAAGCCCCCAACCAAGGGAAGCAAAGCCGCGTCCACGAGCGTGCCAGTATCGTCCGCCGCAGCACGCCCGCAACCACCTACTGCGCGCCAGTCACGAGCTGAGCCCGCCGCGACCACCTCCGCCTCCGCCACCAGCAGAGGCGCTGCCATCGTTGCTGCCGCTGAGCGCCCCGCAAAAAGCGGCCCCCCTCCGCGACCGGCGACCCGCACCACCACCGCGAGCGCCCGCATCAACCCCGCCCCACCGCGTGCCACTGCGGCGGGGATGCCTGCACGCCCGCGGCCCACAGTCTCCACCCGTGCAGCCACGGCAGCTACGCGCACCACCGCCACTGCCGCCGTCAACAACACGGCAGAACAGCGCCAGCCGCGCTCGCAAGCGTCGCCGCCCCTGACCCGAACGAGGGCGACGGAGGCACGCTCACCGCCGCCACTGTTCGCAGCAGTTGCCGCTCGCAGCCCCACACCGCCATCAGCCAGCGCGGCGCCATCGATGCCAGGCCTCGGTTCACCGATGGACACAGCTCCGACACCGAGGACCCCGACGCCGGAGCCCCCGACGCCGGAGACTACACCTCCCAATAGGTCTACGGCGCCGACAGCCCCGCCGGCCGAGAAGAGGCCCCACTACCCGCCCCTAATCGTGGAGCACCTACCAAACTGGGCGCACCACTTCAGGGAGCTGAAGAGCAAGCTGTCCCGCGCGCCCAACGCCCGCCCCTACGGGCGGGGCGTACGATTCCTCCCGAGGGACGAAGTGGAGTACCGTCTGGTGCAGCGGTACCTAACCACACTGGAGAGGGAAGAGGGTATCTCCTGGTTTGCCTACTCCCTCCCAGCAGAGAGATCCCTAAAAGTGGCCATCCGTGGCCTGCCAGCGGAGACCGACACCGAGGACATTCTCCAGGAACTCCGCGAGCTCGGCTTCGCCCCGGAGTACGCAAGGCCGATCAGGGCGCGCGCTGGACGACCGGGCTGCCTATATTACGTGCAGCTCCAGCGGAACCCAGACACCATCCCCCGGATATATGAGGTGAGCGAGCTGCTCTGCATGTCCGGGGTGCGCATCGAGGCCTGGCGCGGAAAGCAAGGCATCGCACAATGCCACCGCTGCCAACAATTCCGGCACTCGTCGCACAACTGCCACCGCAAGCCTGCGTGTGTGCGATGCGGCGAGGAACACGCCGCCCGCGACTGCCCGCGTCCGCTAGAGGAACCACCGACGTGTGCCAACTGCGGAGGCCCCCACCCCGCCAACAACACCTCTTGCCCGGTTTTCCGCGCCGAAAACCGGAACAAGAAAGCCGGCACTATAGCCCGCACCGCCGAAGCCGCCCGACCACGGCCATCGGAACAGGTCCCTCCGACGATGACGGTGACAACCGAGCAAGATGCGCCCGTATCGCTGATGGCTGCAGCGAACGCACCACACACCACCAGGAGGCCCCGGAAACGGAAGCCCAGGAAGCCCACCAACCAGCCGCAAGAGACAACCGCCCCTCCCAGGGAGATGAAAGGAAAGCCAGCGACGGTAGCGGAACCCCCTCCCCCAGAAATGGGGGCGCGGGACGCCGCTATCACAAAGGCAATCCTAATCCTCCAGGAGGTACTGCAGGACATCCGGGCCAACCGAGACCCAATCCCAACGATCCTCAGAGGGATGGCAGACCTGTACACCCGCTGACGCCAAGCCTGAGGATCGTGACCTGGAACGCTGATGGACTCTCTACCCAGAAAACCAGGTTACTACAGTACCTCCTCGCCGAGAAGAAGGTTGATGTGGCCCTAATCCAGGAGACCCACCTCAGAACCCAGGACCGGCTCAAGATACCCGGCTACCACGCGTACCGGAAGGACGAAATGTCACCACTAGGAGTGGCGTACAGGGGCCAAGCCATCCTAGTAAAACGGTCGCTCATCCACCAACCGCTGCCAACACCCACGGACCTCCAGACTTCGTACGCCATAGGGATCGAGGTCAACCTGAACAGCCGCCCCACCCGTGTGTACACTTTTTATAGGCCACCTGAGGCAAAGTTGGTGGAGTCTGATATCCGTCATCTGATGGGATCAGACCTGCCAACTCTCGTAGCAGGGGACTTCAACTGTAAGCACACGGCGTGGAACTCAAGCCGAGTCTGCCCGCAAGGTAGACGACTGTTCGACCTCTCCGAACGCAGCGGCTACGAAGTCATAGGACCTGAAGTCCCGACCCACTAC